CCTTCCAATGAAGGTATGGAGCATAGCCCGCTTCCTGAATCGCAGGGAGACAAGGACAACCTTGAGGAGGAGCCCGGAACATCAGTTCTTGATGAGATACCGGACTATGAGCTGTCAGAACAGGAGGAGTTACCCGATGACCGAGAACCCTTGCTTGAGGATTGCGATGGTGGTGGCGAAGCGGACGACAAGGAAGAGGAGGAGCCACCTGAAGGAGAAGGAGGTGATGGGGGTAAGCCAGGCCATGCTGCGATGAGAACTGGTGATTGCAATCCTCCTGAGATGACATCGCTGGTTTTCGCTGTTGGGATTCCCAATAACAAGGCGAGCACCATCAAGGGCGCTCTGCAAGATGTGATTCTGTACCTGGGTGCTCATGGACTACCGGTACTGCGATTCCACTCTGACCGAGGCGAGTACTACTCTACAGCCTTTAAGGCGTGGCTAAGGGAGCAGGGTATCCGTGGAACATGGGCAGAACCTGGAATTCCTCAGACCAATGGTCATGCTGAAGCCACTGTAAAATGGATCAAGAACCGAATCCGCACGATGCTGGTGGCAAGTGGATTGCCAGTTCGCTTGTGGCCGGCAGCGGCCGAAACAGCGGCGGCTGAACAACGAGCTTCGGTACTTGGTTGGAAGTCACTGCTCCTTGCCCCCTTCGGCACGGTCGTCCATGTGAAGAAGCGACCCTACACTGCTCTTGGTCCGAGGAGGAGTGCGGATACCTTTGATCCTCGCTGGGCAAGGGGAAGATATGTCGGCTTAAGTGGTCTCTTGGATCGAGGACACTTGGTGTTCTTGCCTGAGGAGGAAGGAAAGGGAGAAGGTTTTTTCCATACCTTCCACGTGAGGCCCAACCTGGTCGACCCCGGCGAGCCGACAACCACCTTAGAAGCAGACGAGGTGATCAAGCCAGCCACTCGTTTGACGGGGAAGACGAGACCCTCTGATGTGATGCCGAGGATAGCTGCGATTGAAAAAGAGAGCCGTGGAGATGTTGAGGAGGAGGCCAACCAAGCCCTCAAGTTTGACGACGAGGACCTGGACTTGGAGATGGTGGAGAAGTGGTTCAGGAATGGAACACTAGACAACTTCAAGGCTGGGGCATATCGTCATGGAGGTGTGGTGGGGGTGATGAACTCTACATGGGAATTCCCACACATGACGCAAATCCTCACTCGAATCCTGCAGCGCTCCATGCCCGAGGCAACCTTCACGGCCATCCTGGTGTCAACAAATACCCTGAGGGAGGTCCACAAGGATGTCAATAACGACAGCTCCACGCTGAACTACCTGGTGCCAGTGGTATGTCCACGAAAGGGAGGAGGAGTATGGGTACAACTACAGCCTGGGGATGTGGTCCAAGGGGAACTAAGTCAAAGGCCGAATTCCAAGGGTGAGATGATGTTTGGAAATGTGCATCCGCTGAAGAAGGGGAAATGCATTTCGTTCTCACCAAAAAGGGCCCATGAGGTGATGGAATGGACAGGTGACCGAGTCGTGATCATCGGCTACACACCACATTGTCATGGTCGTATGGACTACTCAATGGTTAGGACCTTGGAGAACCTGGGATTGCAACCACCCCTTTCTCAACTACCAGAATTCTATGTCCCGAGGCCGGAAGAGATCGCGGTGAACTCAGTGTCGACCACCGAAGTCACGCTGAACGAGCAATGTGAGCAGGTGGAGCCCGAGCTGGGATCGAAGGATTGGGAATTGTTTCTGGAGGTTGAGGATGGAGAGGTGAAAATTGGTGGAGGTGGTGATGGCCCTTTCAGTCCAACCATTCCCTCGGTCAACAAGGCGGAGGTCAGCTACACATCAGAAATCGAAGAATTGCTGAGCTCCCTCACAGCCCCGTTGGATGTGGTGCACAATGTTGACCCAAAGGAAGTCCTTCGCTCTTTGGAAAAGTGGATTCCCGCGATCCAGAAGGAGGTCAAGGGAGTGGAGCATGCCATTGAGAGGTTGAGGACCGGGACTACATCAAGGGCAAGCTGGCTGCAAAGACAAGGAGTCCAAAGACTCCCCACCAAATTCGTCTACACGGTGAAGCCGAACGACAAGGCGGACCCCAACGATCCCTCAACATGGTTCAAGCGAAAGGCTCGACTCGTGGTTTGTGGCAATATGGCCCTCATCAACAACCCGGACCTCTACACCGAAGCAGCGCCGGCAGAGGCGGTTAGGGCCGCCTTGACTTTGACCTGCAAGAACCAATGGACGGTGGGGATCCTGGACGTTGTAATGGCCTTCCTGAAGACACCAATGGGAAGATCCTCGAGAGACCCTGTCGTGGTGGTCCAACCTCCCAAACTTCTGGAGCGCCTCAACATGATCGAGGAGTTCGAGTTGTGGGGGTTGATTCGGGCCCTCTATGGACTCAAGGAATCGCCACGGCTATGGGGTAGCTATCGCGACCATGAGTTGGCCTCCCTCACCATGCAGATGAATGATGCGATGTTGCAACTTCGAAAGGGGAAGGCAGTGACGGCGTGGTGGACAGTCCTCGGGTCGAACAACGAGATTGTGGCGGTCATCGTGATTTACGTGGATGACTTCATGATATGCGGAAGTCGAAATACAATCATGGTGTTGGCTCAGGGAATCCAGCAGCTGTGGGAGACAACTGAATTACAGCTGATCTCGCAACAACAACCGTTGAGGTTCCTGGGAATGGAGATTTACCTCCGAGGAGGAGAAGGCGAACCAATGTCCTTCAGTATCGCCCAGGAGGCCTATATCCGTGAGCTCTTGAGAACAAGGGAGATATCCAGCACGCAGCTGGACCGCATCCCATTGAGCAAGGACGCTGCATCCTTTGCAGTTCTGGAGAATGACATCCCACCGAACGACTTCGATGTTCACCTTGCCCAACAACTCACTGGCGAGCTGCTATGGATTTCACAGAGGAGTCGCCCCGACCTGGCGTTCGTGACCTCGCTTATGTCGACCCTTACAACACGAGCTCCATCGAGGGTCATCGCCATTGCCTACAAGGCGCTGGGGTATTTGCAGAGAACACAATCCCGACACCTGACAATCGCCTACGATGGAACCGACCTCTCCCTGTTCTGTGATGCTGCTTATGCTCCGGAATCAGGCCGGTCACATTCCGGTTGGAGTGTGTTTTGGGGCGGATCAGCGATAGTATGGAGATCGGGGAGGCAAAGTGTGATTTCACTCTCCACGGCGGAGAGTGAACTCATCGCATTATTGGACGGGGCGGTGGCCACCTTGGGTGTGGAAGCTCTACTACAAGATGTGGGTGTGGTGGTGGCGTCACGGACCATCTACACCGACAGCACTTCAGCTCTGGCAATATCCTCTGGAACCGGGGGATGGAGAACCAGACATCTCCGCATAAAGGCCGGATGGTTGCAGGAACAACTGGATGCCGGCATCATGGCCATCAAGCACTGTGCTGGTCGAATCCAGCTCGCTGACCTTTTAACAAAGGCCCTGCCGGCCCAGAGGATCAGCGATCTCCTCGTGCTATGGGGAGTGACTGATGAGCAGCCTGCAAGACCGACGACGAGAACAAGTTCCAACATCTCGGCTAAAGCACTTTTGGCGTTGGTCTGCTGCATGCTGATTGTGGGGGCAAAGTCTGAGGAGGAGAGCGTTAACTACCAGAATCGCCTGTCAGTGGACTGGGATATGGTGGGATGGTTAGTGCTTTTCCTTGCAGTGGCTGGGGTAGTGGCAGTGTGGGAAGCGGCTAAATGGGCTACGGCTGGAATGCTGGAATGGACACCTGGAGCTGGGGCACGACGGTTGAGGAAGTTGCAGAGATTGGAGGCGGCGACAAGGCGAGCATTGGAGGTGGAGTTGGACCGACTGGACAAGGAGGAGGCTAATTCCTCACTGATCCAACAGGCTTCGTCACCGATCCCACAGGCTTCCTCACCGATCCCACAGGCTTCGTCACCGATCCCACAGGCTTCGTCACCGATCCCACAGGCTTCGTCACTGATCCCACAGGCTTCGTCACTGATCCCACAGGCTTCGTCACTGATCCCACAGGCTTCGTCACCGATCCCACAGGAGGCATCAACGTCTTCTACCCCAAGAGCGACAGTGGTCACTGGAATGAACGACAGCTTAATGACTCCAAGGCAGTGGTCGCAAGTGGATGAGCCTTTAATGAGTTCTACACCGAGTGAGTCGATTCCTGAAGATTGGGATGAGCGTCCACGTGTGTGCCTTGACCTGGTGATGTTGATGGTGGTAGAGGATATAAGAGCTGGTCTTCGAGAAGAAGGGCTACCAGTCACAGGATCCAAGAAGGATATGGCTGAGAGACTATCAGCCAACCTGGTTGAGGGAGCATTCCCCTCAAGGGCACTGCCATCGACGAGACAGTACAAGTATGTCCTCTACCTCTGGAACCAGCGAGGCTTGAAGCATCGAACGCGACTGAAGTGGGAGAATGTGAATACAAGGCACAAGATCTCCCAGTGGCTTGCATTTTGGAAGGATGCATGAAAAGGAGGCGAGGTCTGTTGGCTATGGTGGTGGAATGGAGCAACAGCACCTTTCGAAGCTGTTGAGGAGGAGTGAAGATGTGCAGCCAAGGTATGTGACTCAACCTCGCCGACGGCCCCGCATTCCCTTTTTCGGTTCAGGGAAATGGCTACGAAGAAGCCCTTGAGCCCCAACGAACCACATCGTGAAGCAGAGCTTTACGTACATTCAGTCATAAAGGCATCTGTAAGCAGTATGAGCAGAGCTCTACATGATGCATTGTCTGTGGTAAGCTGTACAAAAGCCACATAAGGACGAAGCATCTTGCTTGCCGTGGAAAAATAGACATTCAATTCGCTTGTGTTGCCATGGAGCCCCAACTGCCCGGATCCCCATGTGATCAGCATGAGGGGGACATGCAACAAGAACCCTAAACCCTAAACCCTGAACCCGAAACCCTAAACCCTAAACCCTAAACCCTAAAATCAAAACCCTAAACAGTAAACCCTCAAAGTCGCAAACAAAAGGACCGTAACCAGGTGCTTGAGCCCGAGCCGGACCCAGGGGGCACCTTGGATGCTTTTAGGGTTTCAGGCGGTTCGAACCCTAAACCCTAAACCCTAAACCCTAAACCCTAAACCCTAAACCCTAAACCCTAAACCCTAAACCCTAAACCCTAAACCCTAAACCCTAAACCCTAAACCCTAAACCCGAAACCCTAAACCCTAAACCCTAAACCCTAAACCCTAAACCCTAAACCCTAAACCCTAAACCCTAAACCCTCTCTTTCACACACACACACACACACATATATATATATATATATATGTATATCTATATTTGAGCCTTTGTGCGAAAACGGTCCCTCTGCCCCCCGGTGTTCTTACGAAAACGGTCCATCGACTTCAATCGGCAACGGTGTCTTGGTAATTTGGGCCAATCGGCAGAAGGTGAGTTCTTTTTTTGTAAATGGCCATGGGATTCTCTGGGTGAGTGGGTGGGTGGGTGTTAAAGCTTGTCCATGACATGCTGAACCCTGAACCCTGAACCCTAAACCCTAAACCCTAAACCGTAAACCCTAAACCCTAAACCCTAAGCCCTACAAGCCCTGAGCTCCAAACCCTAGGCCCCGAACCCTAAACTCGCAAGGGCTCACGACGGAAAGCGCACGAAGCCCTCTCTTAGTCGGCTTTGTGCTCGAGGGTGTGGGGTGTAGAGTGTGGGGTTTAGGGTTTTGGAGTTTAGGGTTTAGGGTTTCGGAGTTTAGGGTTTAGGGTTGAGGGTTTAGGAGTTTCGGGTTCAGGGTTTAGGGTTTTGGAGTTTAGGGTTTAGGGTTTTGGGGTTTAGGGTTTAGGGTTTCTATAGGGTTTTGGGTTTAGGGTTCGGGGTTTAGGGTAATGATCGTGAGAGGTCAGGGTGGAGGTCCGCAACCCTAAACCCTAAACGTTTAGGGTTTAGGGTTTAGGGCTAGGGTTTAGGGTGAATGCTGAAACCCAAAGCCCGAAGTGTCAAGCCCGGACCATGAACCCCCCCTAAACCCTAAACCCTAAACCCTAAACCCTAAACCCTAAACCCTAAACCCTAAACCCTAAACCCTAAACCCTAAACCCTAAGCCCTAAGCCCTAAGCCCTAAACCCTACGCCCAAAACCCTAAACCCGAAACCCCAAACCCTAAACCCTAAACCGCTGAGATGATGACCTGCATGCGGCGCGGGGGCAGGACTGGGGGTGGCAGTTTGGCCCGGAACATCCCCAAAAACGCGCCACTTGCGTAGCGTTGCGTAGAAGGTGCACCCTGACCGACCTCTACACCCCTCAGAACAACCCCTAAGCCCTGGACCCTAAACCCTAAACCCGAAACCCGAAACCCCAAACTCTAAGCCCTCACTGCAAGTTGCCTGCAAAGGACCCAGCTGCCGCCGAGGAGCCCCCTGGGCATCTCGGTCCTTCTTGCTGAGAGACATTGGGAGACAGATCGGCCCCAAGGGTTTAGGGTTTAGGGTTTAGGGTTTAGGGTTTAGGGTTGCTTTTCGTAGCGATTCTGGGATGTCTTGAAGCTGCAAAATCTCCATCTCCTGGGCTCAGGGGCATCCAGGGGCATCCAGAGTGCCTCAAGGGGCCTGAAGGGGCCTCAGGTGTTTCAGGGATCGAGATTGTGGGTTTAAGGTTTAGGGTTTAGGGTTTAGGGTTTAGGGTTTTTTGGGGATCGGGTTTGAGTTTTGGGTTGACTTGTCGCCCCATGCGGTTCAGAACAGCCGACACATGCCCCTTCTTGCAGCCGAGGTCATCAGAATGCGTGCCTAACTCGCGCGCTCAGTGGAGCATCCAACGCGCGCCGGGGGCAAAGGCCTTGACATACTTGGAGGTTCATGGTACTTCTGAACCAATGAGACTGTACTGATAACCCACTTGTCAGCCCCTTAAGTGCCCTAATATGGCATAAGTACAGTTATGAGTACAGATACAACTGGTCAAAAGTACCATGAGCCTCCAAGTAGCACTGTGAGAGTCGAAGCCTCCAACGCCCCTCAACCCTGAGGCTGATAAAATTTGGACACCCGCCCCCCGGTCTGTCGTTTTTAGCAAGGGAACAACTTCAGAAGGAGCCTCTGTTGTTGATGAGAGATAGTCGATGCAGGCCATCCGGTGTAGAGTTGGAGTTGTCCTCGGGTTTTCGAGGGCTACCAAACTTGAGCCAAGGCCACCGTTGTTGTGGAGCCACCCTAAACCCTAAGCCCTAAACCCTAAACCCTAAACTCCTAAACCCTAAACCCTAAGCCACGAAGCCGCTGTAGGAGCCCCGGTTCTACTACCTCAAGCCGCAGCGCTTGCTCTGCATGCGGCTGAAGCGTGGCGAGGAGCTGGGCCAGTGCCATGGTCCAATTCGGGTTTAGGGTTTAGGGTTCAGGGTTTAGGAAACTAGGGGACCCTGGGATAGACCCCCAAATAGTAGGATTCCTTGATCATCAGGTCCCCAATAAAGTGCCCTAATATCGTACACCCTCAAATCGCAAACTTTCACGAACTCCAATGCAAAGTGGAGTCCGAAAGAAACAAGGGAGGAGAGGCTTTCAGGTTCTGTGACGGGGGTCCACATCGAAGATGCTGACACATGTGCATTTGGTATGCTCTTGGACAAGCTTTTTGAGAGCCGAGAGTGGCAAGAGTGTCTAAGCAGCAAGCCCGAAACGACAAACCCCAAGACCCATCTATGCCCTAGCTGAGTCGATTGGCTGAAAGGTGTAGCACTGGTGTAGCAGTGACATCCCTAACTCTAAACCCTAAACCCTAAACCCTAAACCCTAAACCCTAAACCCTAAACCCTAAACCATGGTAGTCACCTCGTGTGAGTGTAAGACTTTAAATGTGGCCGAGGTATGCCTCGAACGTGCTGGATGCTGTGTTAGAGATCGTGAACATGTCCAAGCAGAACGTCGATCGCGTTGACACGTTCGAGGGCAAGGGCTGCACCATTCTCCCCCTGCTCCACGCGCAGGGCGTTTGGCGATCCGAGTTCATCAGCGCCACTCGGTGCCGATTTTCTGCCCTTAGGGTGTCAGCTTTTGACTCACAGGATGTCTTGCGCTGCAGGGCGGTAGGACCGGAGTATAAGTTCGCCTGACCATCGCCCGCACCTCCCGCGACTGCGCACGAAGACCTCAAAAGGCTCTCTGGTTAGGGGGAGCCCAGGTCGGGGTGAACAAAAGTCCTTGTGCTTGCTTTCTGAGAAAGGTTCCGCCTAAAGTCGGTGTCTTGCTTGCTGCATGCTTTGTGGGCGGGAAGGGGGGTGGGGGAGTGGGCGGTCGGTGGTGCGAAGCGCTAAACCCTAAACCCCTAGACTCGTAGTGGGCCTCGAAACCCAAACCCGGCCCCCAATCTTAGGAAGCTCCCACATGTACCCCAACCCCAAAAGAAACGGCCCAAAACCCCAAAACCCTGGACCTTAAACCCTCAACTCTCGCATGAAATTGTAGACTTTAAAAATATAAAATGAACATATATTTATTACAACACAAACATGTTCAAATCTGTTTTTAAAATTGAGACAATGCTAGGCACTCGCCACTTTGCATTGCCCTCGCGGCCCACCCCTGCAAGCGGTGGGCTTCGCGTCGAACCTGAAGGCGGGGCTGGGTTTTTTTTGCGCCGCAAATCTCGCACCCAAAAACCAGGCGACTCCTGTTAAACCCTAAACCCTAAACCCTAAGCCCTAAGCCCTACACCCTACACCCTAAACCCTAAACCCTAAACTCTATGGGCACCTTGTTAAGTCTTAGGTTTTCGGAATAGCCTTTTGGGGGGTTTTGGGCTTAGGCCGCTGGAAGCTTGTTTGAAGCTCCCGATTAAATGCCTTCTGACCTGGGGATTTCCCAACAGATGCTGGGGAGTTGCTGTAGTTACCCTAAACCCTAAACCCTAAACCCAAAACCCGAAACCCGAAACCCGAAACCGTAAACCCTAAACCCTCAAACCCTAAAGCCTAAACCCTAAACCCTAAACGCTAAAACCCTAAAGCCTAAAGCCTAAACCCTAAACGATAAGGACTACCTTGCTTTGGGGTACCCCATGCAGTGACTTGCCCGCGCAGCGCGGAAGGACCGCACCCGTGCGATGAACTTGAGCCTGGCAACAGCGCTGGCAATGGATCTCCTTTCAGGCTGTCGGGCTGTTGAATGGTTTAGGGTTTAGAGCTCAGGGTTTAGGGTTTGGAGTTTAGGGTTTAGGGTTACTTTATTCAGGCATTCCTTGTGCAGAGGAGACAACGGATGGAGCATATCGGCATTGAGAATCATGGTTGGGCTGTTTCCTCGAGGCGGCGGAGATGAAGCGGAAGTACCTGGCGAAAGAAACCGCGCCCGTCGACGGCAGTTTCAGCTATGGCGACTTCGAGAAGAAGTTCATGGGGGTATCGCCCGTTTGCAAAGGGTCACGCGGCGGTGCTGGAGTTTGGCACGTCGGAAGGCAGGTAGTACGCCGTCCGCGCGAGCCTGCCCCCGGAAGTGCTGCTGGACGAAATCCAAAAGGTCCAGGAACAGTTCTTCGACCATCTACGGGAAATCTCCGCAGAGGCACTCTTCCGCGACGACGAGAAAGGGTCGACACGAGGGCGAAGCGGGCCGCAGACGTGAACAGAACCCCTACGTGGACATGGCAGACGAGCCGCAGGAAAGGGCTGGACACCTTGCGGGGCATGTCGGAAATACAACGACCACAAGAGGATGGTCACTTCCCGCACGCAGCATCGCTCCCCCAATGAGAACGAGCTCGACAGAGGATGGCCTCGAGAAACCCCGGTCTTCGTGAAAGTATGCACTCGATGCTATCAGCAGGAAGTGCGTCGGCTGCTTGAAGACACGCCTCCTCCTGGCGACCTCTTGGAGGACTTCTCGCGCGCCCCCTCCGTGGAAGAGGTCTGCGCCTACATCGTGCGTCAGCAAGCGCAGCGGAATCACCTGCCGCGCTCTCGCGCATTCAAAAGGGCGACAGAACAGGCGGATGCCGAAAGAGGCAACAAATCTCGTCGAGTCTACGAGCGGGAGAGGCGTGCGCTGTTGAAGACCTTCGTCACCTCCATAGCCAGATCTCGAGGAGTGTGGGACGCCCTGATCAACGCCTCTCGAAGATACCACACAATCCTCGAAGACAGGAAGCGGCTCGTGAAGCTCATGAACGGATTCGACACGAGGCTTGCAACGGCCGCCGAGACCCCTCGCAACGAGGCGGAAGCCGAAGCAGACGAAGTGGAAAGGCTGGACATGCGATGGTCGGATTACAAAGCCAGAATGTTGGAGGGAAATCGTTCCCGGCAGGACAAGGAAGTATTCCTGCAGCAGGCCGTAGAAGTGGACAAAGCCATCGCACGGCACGGGCAGCTGTACGCGCGGGAGGCCCGGGGGGGGGGGGGGGGGGCGGCCGTGGGGTGTACGCTAAGAAAGATAGCGAAAGCACAAAGCATAATTGCGGTGTGTGGTGTTTTGTCAGCTTCCCTCCCGAAACAGGCCTTCGGCGGCGACCCCGAGAAAGTGGCAGAGTACGATGACAGGATTGGCGTGGACGAGCAGACCGGGGAATCCCTCACGAACCTGTACTACATGTGTCCACAATGAGGCACCTATATGAGCTCGCAAATGTGGAAGCACCGGAAGCTTGCGGGCAACAAGGACGCTTGGTACTGCGGGGTCAACTGGAAGTATTTCGGGGAGAGGCACCCGCAGAAGGCGGCGGAGATGAAGCGGAAGTACCTGGCGAAAGAAACCGCGCCCGTCGACGGCAGTTTCAGCTATGGCGACTTCGAGAAGAAGTTCATGGGGGTATCGCCCGTTTGCAAAGGGTCACGCGGCGGTGCTGGAGTTTGGCACGTCGGAAGGCAGGTGGTACGCCGTCCGCGCGAGCCTGCCCCCGGAAGTGCTGCTGGACGAAATCCACAACATCGTGAACTTGGAGGATGTTCCTGGCGTCGGAAGGTTCGATTTGCAAGCAGAGGCCGCAAGGGAATCCCCGGTGTTGACCGAGGAAAACTGGGCTTTGATGTGCATTGCGGTGGCAGAGAAGGATATGACCCTATTCGGTCCTCTTTTCGCCCAGCTGGCCCCAAGCGCGGGCCTCAAGGCCTTTGGCAAAATTCAAGTCGTTGGAGCAACGTGACCCACCGCGGTCCCCGCCGATGGGACCCTAAGCGCCAAAACCTGAACCCTAAATCCTACCTTTTACTACCCATAGCCTTTAAGTTTGACCCAAACCCTGCCCTAAACCCTAAACCCTAGAACCTCGAGAAGTGTACCAAGTCGGAACCCTAGACCCTAGACCCTCGACCCTAGACCCTAGACCCTAGACCCTAGACCCTACACGGATTCCTGCGTCATGAGGTTGTTTGTGCCTTGACAGGAAGACCTCAATGATAGGTTGGATTCATGGTATTAATGGTGGTACTATAGGAAGAGCTACAGAGGTTGGAGATTAGAAACAGAGGTCAGTTCACTCAATCTGTTCTCTCTTCGTATTATCTGGAAAGGGTGTCATGTTGGGGAAAAAGCCCAAGTTCTGGATAACACACCCCAAAACCCCTAATTATATTCGCGCGTTAACTTGCAATATAATTATTAGGGTGTTCTTGTGCTCACATGACACGTTACCCCCTGGAAAGAACTAAATGGTGACCACGTTTGGTTTTCTTGTCCGCTCGAAGCAGAAACATGTGGTTAACAAATCCATTCTGTTGACCACGTGCCTAGAGAAGAAGGAGGTTGGATATTTTTCCTAATGTTGTTGAAAACGTGTCTGACTTGGGTAGGTAAAACTCTTTGGAGTAGGAAGAAAACCTTGTATTTTCTTAATGTTATGGGATTCTTTTGGGCGGGTGGGTTTTTTTTCCGTTGCCTGAACACACTGCTGGCCTAGTAAATGCTCGAACTTGAGATGCTGAACCCTAAACCCTAAACCCTAAACCCTAAATCCTAAACCCTAAACCCTAAACCCTAAACCCTAAACCCTAAACCCCAAACCCTAAACCCCGGAAAGCCCGAGGCCGGCTCGTCGGGACCAAGATCCGCGAGCTGATGAAGCACACGCCAGTGCTGGCACGCCTCGTGGCCGAGGTAGCTCGAGACCCTGTGGCGCTTTGTTAGGGTTCAGGGTTTAGGGTTTAGGGTTTAGGGTTTAGGGTTTAGGGTTTAGGGTTTAGGGTTTAGGGGTTAGGGATGGAGGATGTATAGGGTTTTTTGGGGTTTCGGGTTTAGGATGTGCAGGTTTAAAGTTGAAAAAGTTGCGGACGTAGGGTCAAGGTCAAGGAGATGGTCAGTTCGGGAGAGAATGCATGGTAAAGCTCATGCTGCTGTGAATGAAGTCATGGGCTAGCAGCTGCAGTAGTGGCCCAGTGTGCTCGAAGTGAATCCCTAAACCCTAAACCCTAACCCAAACCCTGAACCCTAAACCCTAAACCCTAAATACTAAACCCTACTACGACTGCACTCGTGGTTGCACCTCGAGGCAAGCTGCTGGTTTTTACTCAAGAATCCAGCTGCAGTGACCGCTACAACGGAGGGTTGCTGCCAGGAGTCACTCCTAGTGGCCCCGCTTGGTGGAAATTATTGTGGTTAGGCCAAATTGTTCGTTCGGTCCTTGCCGCTTTCACTGGCCTGTGACATGCGATGTTGAGGACAGACTTTGCGAAGGACTCGTTCATGGATGTGGTGGCCTCGGTCGTGATTCCTATTTTCTGTTAATGTGTTTTTGATGTGTTTTTTAATGGAGCGTCGGGCGTGCGTTTTTGTGCGGCCCGAGGTGGATGATCTTTTCCGTGGACAAGTCGCGGCCAAGGCCGGGACGACTGGTTGCATGTTTTGTGTGTGTGTGTGCGGTAGGAAGGGTGTGCGGCTGTGAGGTTTTGCGCGAACAGCAGAGCAGTGCCTTTGTGTCAGTAGTTCGCAGCGAAGCGATGTCATCCGTGGTCCTGTTCGTCGTCTTGACGCCTGTGTAAGCTGCGCAGGTGGAGTCGACGAAGCGAGTTTGCAGCGGTGATATATCGAAGTCGGGAAGGTTGCCTTTGCGCTACTGCAATGCAGCAAGTTCGCCGCCTTGGAAGCATTCTTCCGGGAGGGCAATCGCAACAGGTTCAGGACAAGTTCGGGACGACGTCGGAGGCTTGGACCCCACGTCGGACGTTCTTTGTGGCCGCAGCTATCGCCTGGTGCAGAATGCTCCGGAAGGTTCCGAAGAGAATCGAGGAGTTTTGTTGAGCATCGATGTGCCGTCGGATCTGCTGAGCGGTTTGGAGAAGTTCCAAGTGGTGTTCCGCGATCGTTCGCATGGGTCGTGTTTGAAGGCATCGAGTTCCACAGGAGGTTGACTGTGACCATTGCAACAGTGCACGATGTTCGCGTAGTCCTTGCACCGATCCGCTCTGTGAAGGTTGCCGGCGAATTGGTGTCGTTTAGCTGGCTTTCATTAGAAGTCGCATGCGCCGTATGATTTTCATAACTTTTGTAGTTTGGGGTTTTTTGGTATATGGGAAACGTGTTGTGATTTTCGTTGTTCAACATTGCTTGGGGTCAGGCGTACGTCTGGTCGCCGCGCAAACACGATGATCCGAAGCGGCCCTGCCATTTTGTTTGCGGAACATGTTTGTTGGAGGACGCACGCAATTCGTGAAGGTTGCGTTGCTTTCGTGACGAAGTCACGTAGGACCGGTGGCGCGGACCCCGTCGAGAGTTCGAGGAATGAGAGAATGCGAGTGACGTGAAAGCCACCGGAATCAGACAGTGAGCTGGGCCTCTTCCACGAGGTTAGTACTTGTGCCTTCTGTTTCGTAACGATCGAGTGTGCAACCGTGTTGCAAAACGACATCCATACTATGCTTACATGAACGAGGCCATAGCACAACCTCCGAATGGTGTGTATGTCAGTATGCGAGTAAAAAGAATGGTCGGAGGACGTTGTCGTGTCGCATGTCTATGAAGTATGTCTGCTTGGTAGAGATGCGCCTTGCGAGGTGTCCAATGATCTCCTGGACGTGGCCATGTTCTTGGCTCTGCTCTCGGATCGTTATGTGTTGTTCGCTGCCACAGGCACTTGCGCCTGTCCTGCCAAGACCAGTTGTCGTGGAAGCAGTGAGCGCTGTGCATCCACCAGTGCCTCCACCTGTCCTGGCATCTGATGCAGACGTGGCAGCAGACAAGATGAGTGAGTTCGCAGACCCTGCCTGGAAGATTTACCTTCAGTAACCCGACAGCCTTCGTAACCAAGTCTAAGGATGCTACTCCACCGGTGACCGTGCTGGGTGAACAGCAAGTCCTCACGGAGGATATTTCTGCACCACTCATGACCCTTCTGCGTGCAGGACTCTGCAAGAAGATGAAGTTCCAGGAGCAAGAGGTCGATGTCTTGTTGCAGCTGGTGAAGCAAGACGCCTTTACTACAACAGCGAAAGTTCTCGCCAGACTGCCGCAGCGCGGCGAGAAGCCCTAAACCCTAAACCCTAAACCCTAAACCCTAAACCCTAAACCCTAAGCCCTAAACCCTAAACCCTAAACCCTAAACCCTAAACCCTAAACCCTAAACCCTAAACTCTAAACCCTAAACCTTAAACCCTAAACCCTAAACCCTATAAGTACCGCTTTTCTTGGTTCGTAAGTACCGTGAACTGCCAAGCAGGCGCTCGAAGTCAAGGACCGAGCGGAGGGGAAGATGCCACCTCTGCCCACTCCAGAGGACGCGGGGCATCTTTCGGGTCCCGTCTTATGCAATCGATGGCATGGGTCTGTGGACGTGTTCGACTAGCTCCAGCGCGGCTTTCAGGTCCAACAGTAACATGTTGCAAACGAATGCTTTCGGGAATGATCGATTAAGAGGAAGGTCCTAGCAAGTTCATGCCTATCACAGACAGTTGGTCAATGGTATGTTGTGTGGAGCATGCGAAGTTGCGGGAGGCCCAGGCCTCAAGGATATTTCCACCAATCCTGGCAGCGATAATCAACAAAAGTGGTTCGAGCTGCCGGATCAGCGAGATGCCGAATTTTTGCCGGCGAGACACTCACAGGTATTCAGGTGGCCAGGCCGTCCGCTTTCGAGGACCGAAGTTTGAAGGCCTGGACCTAGCGCGAGAGCAGCTGCTGACGCTGGCTCAAGCGTACCGCTTGCTTTCCCAGGTGCCAGATGCCTAACGCCGCGAAGCCGAATGCAGAAATTCTAGGATGTAAGGTTTAGGGTTTAGGGCAAAGGGTTTTCAGCCCTGCAAAAACCTGAAATGTAGACTTCTGAAGCCCTTGCCCCGACGTGTCGGACCGGTTTGGTAGCAGGGCTATGGTTGCTGAAGATTTGCTTGTAGGCCACCCCCAAGTCTGTTCTGGATTACGCATGTAAAGTTTGCGGATAGGGTTTGGGGTTTAGGTTTGGGGTTTAGGGTTGGAGTTCACGTTTTTTTAATTTAGTGCAGGGTTGTTTTGTTATATTTATAATATGGGGAATGTCGCACGGGTGAACATCCCAAATGCCTAGATCCCACACCTAAACCCAAGCCCGCAACACACTGAAGCTCCAGCCCGCAAACATTCAAGAGCCCCAGAAAGGCCCAAGCCCCCCTTGGGTGCGCGTGGGTCCCTGGGTGCTGGTAGATTGCTTAGGGCGCTGCGGTAGTTGGGAGAGGGGCTGCGCGCCTGAACAGACACTCGTTTCCGTAGGAAACCCCGCTTTGCCGAACTGTGGTGGGGAAAATCTTCGCTCGGAGATCATGCCTCTCTGCATGCAACCCAAGGCTAACCCTTGTTGGCAGGGAGGGCTCAATTCGTGGAGCCAACTCCCCACCCAGCCAGCCACCCAGAGCTTCCCACAACCCACCCACCTACCCAATCATCCCACCCTCCCACCTCTAATATTAGATACCCCCCCCTCATAGTTATGTTAGAGTTTATTTCGGGTATTTAACAAAAGCGGGTTGGGGGGGGTTTAATGTTAGGATTAGGTGTAGGGTTTGGAGTGGCTGCAGTTGAAAGGGGTTTCAAGACGCAGGGGCTAGGTCACTTTAATTTGCCCTTGCTGAAGCCAACAAACAGGAAAAGTCCTGACCCTTTCTTGGAGGTTCATGGAACTTACTAACCAACTATACCTGTACTTACAACTGTACTTAGAACCATATCAGGGCACTTATGGGCTGAGAAGTCGAGTTACATGTGGCTAAGAAGCACCATGAACCTCCCAAGCACGACAGGAGAACTACGACTTTGCGGCGAACCTGATGCGCCGCGCGGGCTACGTCCTCCATGGCGATCCGAAGTTCTGGTTCGCCATCGGCCGGGTTGGCGAAGGTGATCCTGTGTAGAGGTTTGGGATGTTCCCCCTTTATGCTAACAGCTCCTTAAATAGGGATTGCAATAAGGGGGGGTACTATAAATCCTTACTACGGAAAGCCTTCGCACGCGCGGGGTCTTGAAATCGATGACCGTCTCGGTGTTATCGGCGGGGGGCCCAGATGCTCTCGCCCAGGCGCTGTGCGCATTTCATCTCGCGCTGTTTCCTAGGTCCCGCGCACATGTCGTGAGGTCCCGTGCGCTTTTCGAGGCTTGCGCATTGTTTTTTATTCATGTTTTATGTTGCTTTTAGTTTTTGCGTTTTGGGCTCTCGATGGCTTTCGCCTCCGTCACGTGCGTAGGCTCCTCGTGACGTGCAGAACTGTGGTCGCCCTGTTGGGGCCCCTGGAGTACACTTGAAAGTGGTCTCGGAGTTCTTGGAATGCGGTTTAATGTTTAGGGTTTAGGGTTTAGGGGTGTTTTTTTTGGTTTTTTGCTTCTCAAGCCAGGATGCAAAGGGGTGTTCTTTTGCTTTTTTTGTCCTTCCACTTTTGTCCATGCCGCCTTTGAGCACAGCTCGCCGCGCGAATCCGGCCGTAGCTTAGCAAATCTTGCGGGACTTCATAGGCTTGCTGCACCCACTCCACCTGCGGTGGCAGAAGACAGTACCTCCTGAACGCTGGTGGGTGGCAGTCCGGGTTTCGGGCGAGGCCGCACGCTCCGGACAGCTGAGTGCTTCGAAGGACCGAGCCTTGAATTGGCCGCCTTAGTGGCCGCCTTGCGAAGGATCCTGAAGGTTCATGGTGCTTATTTACAAATTGGTGGGTACCCTAAATAAGCCCACAAAGGGACCATAGGTTTAGAGAAGTCACCAATTATAACACACTTATGAGCCCTTTAAGTGCCCGAATACGGTTGCAAGTGCAGTTTTTCGCAAAGTTATAGTTGGTTAACTCTGACCCACCTATAAGCCCTTTAAGTGCCCCAATATGGTTGTAAGTACAGTTTTTAGTAAAGTTATAGTTGGTCCGTGAGTACAGTTCTTCGTAAAGCTATCGTTGGTTAGTATGTACTATGAACCTCCAAGAAGTGGCCGCCTTGAGAAGGATCCTGGACGCTGTCAGCCCATTGGCCTACAGTCGAAGCACTAAGTGCCCTCTACCCTCAACCCTCAACTAGAAATAGGGTTTAGGGTGTAAGGTTTAGGGTACAGGGTTCAGGGTTCAGGGTTTAGGGTTTAGGGTTTAGGGTTTAGGGTTTAGGAAACTGCCTATGCCCTAAACTCTACACCAAAAAAGACCTAAACCCTAAACTCTGAGGGCTGAGACTCGGGCGCCGATGGCAAACCTCACAGCACCTCGTGCTCAGCTGTTTCGTTCGGGACACCCCCGTGGCATCGCCTGCACAGGCAACCCTAGCGGAAAACCCCCCCAACCCAAAACCCACCCTAAACCCTAAACCCTAAACCCTAAACCCTAAACCCTAAACCCTAAGCCCGAAGCCTTAAACCCTAAATCCTAACCCTTGAAACCCTAAACCCTGAACCCTTAAGCCTTAAACCCTAAACCCTAAACCCTCTTCTTCGAAGGGAATCCTCCGATAAAATTGGAACGATACAGAGAAGATTAGCCTGGCCCCTGCCCAAGGATGACACGCACAAATCGAGAAGTGTACTAAACCCTCTTCTTTTGCCTTGTCCCCAAAAATTCCTTTGCGATGCCTCGCAGGTGATAGCTCGTAGGGGATGGGCTTGACTACAAGTTAAGCCTGAAACCCGAAACCCTAAGCCCCTAAACCTGAAACCCTACATGGGAGTCTCCCACACATACGGGCGATGCAGATGGATGGCTTTCATGGCCTGGCCAAGCTGACGTCAGTCTGGGTTTAGGGTTTAGGGTTTAGGGTTTAGGGTTTAGGGTTTAGGGTTTAGGGTTTAGGGTTTAGGGTTTAGGGTTTAGGGTTTAGGGTTTAGGGTTCTTGGTTCTTCTGCAAGCAATCGCAGCCGAGGCGGACCCAGAATTGACTGAAGCCAAAGCCGCAGCAGCTGAAGCCAACATCTTTCATGGTGTGGCCTTCGGGCCCTAAAGACCCCTAAAGACACTTAAGTTGGGATGTTTCCTGTCGCACTAACAGTCCTTAATCGGGATGATGGTACCCCCTATTGTAATCCCTATGAAGGACTGTTAGGATAAGGGGGAACATCCCAACACTTAAGCCCTAAACGCTAAGCCCTACAGGCCTAAACGCTCCCCGGGGGAACCATGACAGCCCCTAAGCCCTAGGGGTTCGGGTTTAGCGTTTAGGATTTAGGGTTTAGGGTTTCGGGTTTAGGGTTTAGGGTTTAGGGCTAGGGTTTAGGGTTTAGGGTTCAGGGTTCAGGGTTTAGGGTTTAGGGTTTAGGGTTTAGGGTTTAGGGAGCTGGACGCCCCTACATGCGGTCTCGTGTGTTGCTTTTGGCGGCTTCTGCTGCTGCAATGTCGCACAGCCTCAAGGATGCAAAGTGCACTCCAAAAGCCACATGCCCAGTCAAAGGCCCCGAAACCACAAGGGTCGAGACTGAAGGCAGCGTTGCCGGGAAGGTCCGAGGCCGCAGCTAATGTCTCAAAAAGTCCCATGGCCCGGGGCTTTCGGGTCCCTTCAGAAACACCCTAAACCCTAAGCCCTAAGCCCTAAACCCTTGATGGCCTTGAGTTTTTGCCAGAGATTTTTCAATTGTCAACATGCCCCCCCCCCTCCCCCTACCAATTGTGTGATGCTGGGCACCCGTCGCACTCGGGGTTAGGATTAGTCTCAGGTGCTGGCTCTGGAGTTTAGGGTTTAGGGTTTAGGGTTTAGGGTTTAGGGTTTAGGGTTTAGGGTTTAGGGTTTAGGGTTTGAGGTTCTCAAGGGAGGGGGCCCCATGAAGGGCAGGTATTCAGGGAACCGCAGGGCTCCCTCCTGCCTTGAACCCCCCTCCCTTGAGAACCCTATTCTTGGAGGTTCATGGTGCTTATGAACCAATTAGAACTGTACTTATAACCCACTTATAAGCCCCGCAAGTACCCTAATATGGTTATAAGTACAGTTCTCCCTAAACCCTAAACCCAAAACCCTAAACCCTAAACCCTAAACCCTAAACCCTAAACCCTAAACCCTAAACCCTAAACCCTTAGTAAGTACCAAGCATTTATAAGTACAGTTATAATTGGTTAACAAGTACCATGAACCTCCAAGCAGAATCCCTGGATCAAAGGGCCATTGGCTCTGTGCAGGTCGAACATGCTGCTCTACAGGACGTACGGCCCTGCTCTCAGAAAAACTGGCCATGATCTACTGCGTGACCCCCGAAAACCTAAACCCTAAACCCTAAACCCTAAGCCCTAAACCCTACACCCTACAGCCGAGACCCTAAACCCGCAACCCTAAAGGAGTTGGGGCTGTCTTGGCATTGGCATTGAAGAGCGCGGAGGCTTCACCCTCCACCCCAAAGAGGAGCCGAGTTTCACGCCGAAACCCCAGTCTGCGGGAAGGGTTTGGGGTTTTTCGGGTTTCGGGTTAGTTTCGGGTTTAGGGTTTAGGGTTTAGGGTTTAGGGTTTAGGGCAAGTCGCAGCCTACAGGACTTTGGATCGACAGAGGTATCAGGACCATGAGGCGCATGTACGGAGAGGCCAAGAGAAGGTTTCGCCTCGAGCTGAGGTACATCATACGGCCACACATAGCCGCGGGCCAAGATGGGTTTAGGGTTTAGAGTGTAGGGTTTAGGGTTTCGGGTTTAGGGTTTAGGGTTTAGGGCTAGGGTTTAGGGTTCAGGGTTTAGGGTTCAAAAAGGGTGCCCGGATCATAACTCTCCCAGCGTTCTTCCTCTCCAGCCCGGCCCATGGTCTTCTGCGTAGCATGCCTCTGATTGCTTTCAAGGTAACAGAGGCTCTTGCCACTTTATCTTGCGCGCAGAGAAGAATGCGCGACGGAAGGCTTAGGGAAATTATTCCAGCGCGGTGCGTTTGTGTGCACACGGGCTTGGGGCCGCTTGGCCGTCCCGAAGCCCGGCGCCTTAAACCTTGAACCCTCAACCCTGAAACCCTGAAACCCCTAAACGCTGAACCCTAAACTCTGAACCCTAAATCCTGGACCCCAAAACCCTAAACCCTGAACCTTTAAGTTAAACCCTTAAACCCTAAACCCTAAACCCTTAAACCCTGAACCCTGAACCCTAAACCCTGAACCCTGAACCCCCGAAACCCCGAGGTGAGACCGATCATGAAGGTGTTCTGGGATCATGAGGAAGCCAAGCCGCGCCCTGAAACGCGGTGGTTTGGGGGGTTTAGGGGTTTACGGTTTAGGTTGAAGGGGTTTAGGGTTTAGGGATTAGGGTTTAGGGTTTAGGGTTTAGGGTTTAGGGTTTAGGGAGAGAGAGAGAAAGAGAGAGAGAGAGAGAGAGAGAGAGAGAGCGAGAGAAAGAGAGAGAGAGAGAGAGAAGGAGAGGGAGGGTAACCTCGAAGCCGAACAGAAAAGCCGAAACGCCCCGATGCACGTGAGACCTCGAACACTCCTAAACGGGCTTTAGGGCTTACTTGGGGAACATAAGGCTTCTTTTTCTCCGGGGGCTTGAGGGGCAGTTGATGTGTCTTTGTTTTAAGGGCTTGTCTTTTCTTTTTGTCCTGTGTGTGCGTGCGTGGGTTTGGGGTTCAAGATCTTCGGGTAAGGCCTCACAAAGGGTGGTGGGTGGACTCCAAGTAGTGCGACGTGCTAAACCCTAAATCCTAGAAAAACAAGACCTCGTCCTAAACCACAAGCCGGCAACCCTTCAAGAATACCAAGGGAGCCAAATTGGACCCAACAATAGACCCGAATCTGGAGAACCCTGCATGTAGTACAGGAGCCTAGGGAGTAGGAACATCTCGAAAAACAACACAATCGACTATTGAAAGTTGCGCTTTCGAATGAAGTACGCCGCTCCTGTACCGGGAGGTGTTGAAGCCATGAGGGCGTTGTTCTTTCGCTTGGGTGTGTTCTCAAGTGCTTGGGCAGACACTCTGCCATCCGAAGATGAGG